AATTTAATTATCCCGGATGTCCGATTACGGGTAAAATCAAGATAGGAATATAATTCAAATATAATAATTATGATAAGTAAAATTTTATACAAACAAAATATAACTTCGGTACGTTTTAGTATAATTGGAAATAACAATAAAAATCCGACTTACAGTTTTTGCAGCAGTAGCCAATATATTCACCTTCAACGGCACCCTAACAATTTACTACTTGCTTCTTAGAGCGATAAGAGAGTGTAAATTACTAGACTCCTTTCACATCGACCAAATCGCGTATCGTAGTATAACGATCGACAGTACGGGGTATTAATGCCGTACCCGGACTGTTACACTACGCCGTTTGATATGGTTGGAAAGTAAGGAGTCTTATAGGCGTATACGGACGCAGAAAAAAAGAGTTACGACTACTGGTGGGAATAGGCACGGTACCAGGCAGTCGGACAGTAAGGGGTTTTACAGCCTTACCCACGACTCTGGACGGTGGTGTCTATTCCTACCAGTATTTTGGTCGGAAAAACGGAATCGGTGAGCCGGCCGTCGGGCCTTCCTATATGTGCTGTTGCGCTTATTCCCGATTGTCAGCCTAGCGAATGACAACATACCCGTTTCGATGCCGCTGAGGGTTTTCCGGGTCGATAGGGGTTTGGATGTACATATGAATCTGTTCAGAATGTATGCCCTTACTAGTTTGCTATCATTAATCCCCCCTGGAGGGACCAATTGTATCCTTAATCAGCGATCCCCAGTCGGATCTATGATGAGTTGTCCTTGAGCGCGATCTACCGTTAGTCCGCGAGCGAAATGTCGTATCGGTACTCGGGCGCGCAGTATTGGTGGCGCGGACTAGCGGAGAAAGGAGTGGTCCGTACATTCAGAATCGTTACAATTTATAGTTTTACAGTAAGTAAACATACGTTTTAATATTATCAACTGTATCCTCGATCCAAGGCCCACAACTATAGATAAATATCATCTATAGCCGCATGCAGGGACAGAAACCGTTACAAATTTTAACGGTTTCGGTTTCGGTTTTGAGAACGGTTTATAAAATTTTCTGGTTTTGGTTTAGGTTTAAAGATCGGTTTTTTAAATTTTTCGGTTTTGGTTTCGGTTTCAAAAAAGGGTTTTTTAAATTTATCGGTTTCAAAAACCACGGTTTTCAAAAATTTTCGGTTACGGTTTTTAGTTTCCAGTAATAATTTTTTTTTTTCAATGGTATCGAGAGTCGATGGAGGTTGTTGGACGTTGGTCGCAGTACTTCTTCCCAATAAGTCACACTACTTCGCCCCTTCCAGTAATATCTATAGACCTGATTTGTATTATCTATTAACTATTAAGGGGAAAGGGCCTGAGCCTCAGGGGTGGCACTGTCTAAGGATACAGATATATTGGGTTCTGATCAAGGGATTGTTAGGAATATATATATAAATATTATATATACATACTCAATAAAGGTATATTATGGTATTATACATATATTTTTAATAACATTGGTAATTTGTATCACCAATTGCCTATAGGAAATAAATAATAATTAATAAGTACCTACCTAATAACATATTACATGCACACAAATACAATATATTTTTGTATGTTGCAGTAGTTAAGACACTCAGTAAGAAATACTAAATACATGTACACTATATATTAGATATTATATTATATTATGTAGTACATAATATCTTCTTTCTTTTCAATATAAATTATATAATATGCCTTATGTCTGGGAGGGGGGGATTATAAAAAAAATATGTGCTACGTAAAAAATACAACTGTTTTAATGCACTTTCCATAGTGGTAGGAACTTAAAATTTAAACCATAGCTTCCAAGCCTGAGCATAAACGCGTTAAAAAGTTAAAAGTTAAGTTAAAAGTTAAGTTAATTTTAACTTTTAACTTAACTTTTTGAAATTTAATTTTCATTAACTTAATTTTTAACTTAACTTATTTTAATTGATATAAACTTAATAAATAACGAGTTACTTTTAATCAAATTCAAGTTAAGTTAATTTATAAATAATTAAATAATAAATATAATAAAAAAAAATTATTATTGATATTACATAACCATTTATTAGAATAGGAAATTACAAATATAGTTAAATTAATTTCTCGTTCCGTTAACCAGAATTCTTCAAAAAAAATAACTCGATTAAATACATATAGATATAGCAATATGCAATAGCCAATAGCCAATTATATTATAACATAGAGGTGTATCGTATCTATAAGGATATACCGTACCATACAGCGGCATACGGGCATATTGTAATAATAATAATTAATAAATACTAATAACTAATAAGTAATAAGTAATATGATAAACCTATTATCTTATTATTTTGATATAGATACAAATCAAAAATGTACAATTCTGAAGAACATAATGTAAAATATTTTCGGCATAAATAGGTTATTTTTAAATTAAAACTAATTGGGTTGTGCCCATGTACATTTATATTTCAAATGTTTATATTTATAAACAGTCAATATTGTCAGTAGACAAAATATTCATAGCCCACATGGGTTCACTTTTCGTTCTCGGCTCTATCAGCACGCTACACACGATTTCGGATTTACAATACCGCGTTTCAGTGATTTGTGTGAATTGTGTACCTACTATATAATAATTATGGGTAGGTAGAATTATTCTATTAATTCAGTACCTACCTATGTATAGAAAAGCTATTGGCTATTTCATGTGTTCAATAATATTTATGATTTTTATTATTTTAAACCATATTACTGGGTGATTATATAGATACAGTAGAACTTCCATGTAACGGTCACCAAAGGGTCTGTAAATAATGACCGCTATTTAGAGGTGACCGTCCTACAGATGTAGGATAACACTCGACGGGACCAAAAAAATTGACCATTACATAGAGGTGACCGTTTACGGAAGTTTTACTGTATTATGAAAAAAAAAATTAACTTAACTTAACTTAAGTTAATAAGTTAATTGAAAATGTTCATATAACTTTTAACTTAACTGAGTTAAAAAAAAATTAGGTTAACTGTTAACTTTAAACTTTTTAAAATGTTTTCCATTAACTTAACTTAACTCAGTTAAAAATTTTCATTAACTTGCCCAGGCTTGATAGCTTCCTTAAAATGGTCTCATGCGATTAATGATAACTGCGGTCTGCGGGACAGCGGGACGGACGCGGATCAGTCGAATACGAAAATACAATTCTAATTAAATAATAATATAGACGAATTCTTCAAATAATAACAATTTACAATACAGATGTGCATAGCCACGCATAGGGGCGATAAAAATAACAATTGTGATATTTGTATTTTAATTTAGAATCAACAAATCTAGTAATAAAATATAGGTAGGTAGTATAAATAGAATAATATTCGTAATATCGTATTATTAATATTTCGTAATACTCAGTAATAGCATCGGGAATTTTTCATACATATTAATTCAAATATAATATTCTCTTCGTAGAAAAATACTTGTTTTAACTAGAATTAATAAAAATAAAAATTTAAACAATCTTAGAAAATTCTAAGAAACCGATATTAGTTTTAAATGTTAATCGGTTTTGAAGAACGGTTTTAAAATTTTTTGGTTACGGTCTGGGTATTATAAATGGTTTTTTAAATTCTTAGGTTACGGTTCTGGTTTTCTAACCGAGGTTTTAAAGCTCTTGGTTTCGGTTTCGGTTACGGTGTTCAAAATTGCAAAAACCGCGGTTTTAACCGGTTTTTCAGAAAACCGGTTAAACCGGTTTCTGTCCCTGGCCGCATGTCCATGTGACTATACTGTTGAAGTACCTACTGGCTACTCTACAGATTTCGCATTCTACATACTTTGTAGCTAATTGTTTCAAGCTGAAATATTTTGCTTTCAGCTAATGACGTGTATACCTATTACCTATTATGAAAATAATATTGTCATTCTTACATTTTTCACCAGTAGCATAATTTTTTTCATCACCAACCTCTATAATATAAGTGCTTTTAATATCTAACGCATTAAATGTACCTAATATTCAGAAGGTATAACTACTTAAAAAGTCTAAAAATTATACTTTGTGGCATTAAGTTTGTATTATTTAAGTCTACACATTTTTAAAAGTGAAAGTGGTCGTAAAAAATATAATGTAAGTGGCGTTATAAAAAACGTACTATAAAAAATAAATGATGAATACCTAATTCATGTTATTTCAAAAACTGTTATTGATTTTTTTTAAATAAGCATTTTTTAAGTGCATAATTTTAGATATTTAGTGCATATAAATGCATATTTTTTTAACTTTTTAAGGCATATTTCACTCATATTTGAGTGGATAAATGCATGCTTATTTAGGCATTTATTAGGGCATGAACTTACGATCCCTGTTAATCAGAATATTAACCGGTATTGTTTCGATAAGTAACGGAGGAAGATTTTAAAATTAAATGGTTTATTTTAGGTGTCTAATCAGTTATCACCCTTAGCTCTTCGATAGTTTGATTCCTATTTATAAAGATAGATGATTCATAAGTATGACAAAGGTCAAATAGTAGCCAGATTAGGTAGTTTTTGCCTTTTTGGGATCCATAGCAAAATACAATAATATTATTAATTAATTATCACTGAATTAATTTCATCAACCTCATAGGGGGTGTATAATATAGGAAATTATCACAGAGACTAGAAAACCAATTACTCCTACTAGTCCTACTATATTTGGCCCGTGGAAAAAACTTATGAATAATTAAGTAGGTAGTCAAGTGGAGTTTAACTATAGTAACGGAATACTTTTACTACAATAAACATTCTTAAAACCATAATTACTCAATAAACTAAATTAAAACCAACAGTAGGTTATATTTAAATAAATACCTATCTAAAACACAATTATATCGGTACCTAGCCACCTAGGTATAGGTCACTGAATATTTAAAAAAATTGTCGCCGGTCGACGTAACATCGTTAGGTATTCAAACAACAATAATTAAATACATATATACATACATTTAATTACGCCACCTAAGACAATATGGTACGAGCCAACCAAGTTAAATTGGTGATGGAAATCATCGACAACATGTTGCACGACACATCCAAACCATGGACGGATTTGTTCGGACGTGTGGAAACGCGGACCGGCGTACCCAGGCTGAAACTACTGATAGGATTTCTGCTGACCACTTCGGTCATCCTCCTCGTGTTTGGGACTAACTACGCTTTGGTGTTGAGCAACGCGATCGGATTGATTTACCCCGCAAAGGCGACGGTGTCACTAATGATTTGGCCTCCGAAGTGGCAGAATTACACTCCCGCCGCCGCCGCTGCCGAAGCACAAAACAAAAAGTTCACGTACTGGCTTACGTTCTGCGCGGTCTTGATCGTAGAGCAGTTCTGCGGATTCGTCTTATTTCTATTTCCGTGGTACTTACTGTTGAGAACATTTTTTTTGATATGGTGTTCCACACCAATCCGACACAACGGTGTGGCTTTCATAAACGCCAAGGTCATATATAAAATCTTCGAGGTTAATATAAGAACTTATAACCAGATATTTAAATTATTGTTAAAATGTATAATATAGTTTTGTTATTATTTTTGGATTGTGGTAAACGGCAGCCAACACGTAGGCCTCACGTCAATATTAACTGTTCCGATATTCAAAACTTGACGCAGGCCCGCCAGTTATTTCGGCGATCGTGTCTGCCACCTCAGCGATCACCTCAGATGACATCTTGGAGGTCGGCACTTCGGAAATGAACATTTTAACTGCAGTAATGTGTATGTACCATGGATACGTCAAACCAAACCCGTTTATTATGGAAGCGTGTGGAAGCTTAACCATACGCTTCCAAGGTTTATAAATCATGTAATTTTTGACATAATGCAACTTTTTAAATTGATATACATAGCAAAACTTACCGTCTACAACTTTTATTTGAAACTTTTTTTAAGTTTTTTTAAAAAAATGTGTGTAATTTATATTTTACTTTTTTTGGAAAAATACGAATTAACCAAAAACCTGGGGTAATACCGTATATACTCTGGGGCATACAGCACAATAGTCATGGCTTGTTTATCATATAATTTTTGACGAAATTCAATTTTTTAAACTGGTATACATTGAAAAAATTAAGGTCTACCTATAACTTTTATTTGAAACTTTTTGACATTCCCACGATTAAAGATATTATACAGGTTGCACATAGACTATACTGATAAGGTGAAATACGAAATGACTTCCAATAATTAACCAGTGGCGCTCCAAGCGGCAGTATTACAAATAACCGATTATAGATATATAGGTGTAAAATTAGTTCTAAAAATCGACACATATGGTTTAGAGTTGACATCAAGCGCCACTAGTTAATTATTAACAGCTGTTTTATATAGTCACTTTGTAAATCAATCTGAAAGCCGTTTATTATAGGGCGATTTGCAACCTGTATTATATCTTTAATCGTGGTTTTGCCCCACATACGGTAATTCCCCGCTTTCCCCTATGATACTACTATGTTTATGTATGTGTATATGTATTACTATGTAGGTATATTTTTGATAATATTGTGATTAAATGTTATTAATTTTAGTATCTAATACAGAAGGTAAAATTCATTTTTTCCAAAAAAAAATACATTTGAAATTGTCATTGTGTGTACGATTAAATATTATACTTTAAAAGTTTCATATTATAAACAATAATAATATTTTTAAATTACAACAAAATAACTAAAATCGTTATTCTTGGTTTTAATATATTGTAATTTCGTCCAAATTTGAATTTTAAATGTCTGTAAAAATTAACTGTGCTTATTTATTTTTTAGTTTTTTTGGTTGAAGTAGGTATGAACTATTTATGAGATCTTTGTTTTAATTTGTCAATCCTTAGCTTTAAAAATTAAACCTAATTTTATAAAAATTTGAATTTCAAATGCTCATAAAAATTTTATTAGACTTTCGGATGGAATTTTTTTTTTTTGCTAAAGTTCGACAAATTTATGAAGAATCTTAAATAAAATTTGAAAAACCTTAGATTTAAAAAAAATTGTGGTATATTTCTAATTCAAAATAGTTTACATATTTTTGTGATTTTCACGTATTTTGTCAAAATTTGAACCTTAAATGATTAAAAAAAAAAATTGTGTTTATGTATTTTTAATATTTTTGCCATTGTAACAATATACCTATTAGAATTCTTGTATCAAATTTCCAAGCTTTTTTCCAATGAATAAAATTTTATTGACATCTATAGAAAAAATAACCTAAGAAAGAAGAAACTGAAAATGTACGTAAACAGCTCAAAACAAGTCAAAATATTTTATAGAGTATAGAAAATATTAATATAAACATTCAGTGAAAATTGCATATGTAGGTATCTACGTTAGTTTGTTTTAGAGTTAAACCAAAAACCAAAATTAATTTTGTCGAAAATCGATTTTACGTATAAGGATTCCCGTGTTTCCTTAATTTTTTTTGTTTTCCCAATGGTTTTGAAAACTACTAGGAATTTTTTACTTTCGACCAAAGTACCAAAGTACCAACTGCATCATTATTCATTGTAAAACCAATACATATTCATATCGCTCCTCTCAGAATCTAAAATCTATACGATTTTTTAAAGTACTTATACATTCAACAGTTTAGCTGTATAGTCTGAAGTTCTTTTTTTTGTCCTGCAATATTCGCCTCATTATCATAATATATTATGCTTCACTGCTTGAGCTGATGATAGTCAATTAATTATAATAATATAATATAATATATCAAGATTATTAACACTAGTTATCTTATATCTCTCTAAGAAACATAATTTTTAATGCTATATAAATATATAATATGAATATACCTACTTAATAAAATTGTTGAAATCAATTTTCTTATATCTATTTTTTTTTTTTTTGAACTTGAGTTATTAGATCTCAGTAAAAAAAGTAAGACTCAGGATCTGGGCACTGTTTCCCCCTTACCCAAAGTAGTATAGAAAGGAGTTGATAGAATCGAATAAATATGTAGCAGTATATTATACTATAATAGCTATTTGTAGGTATATATAGTTAGTGTCGCTAAACAAAAAACCCTGTAGCAGCAGTAACTAGGTGCGATCTAAGGGGGTGTCAAAGGAGCGCATACCCCCCTCAAATCCTTCAAAATAGGTTTGTATAATGTATAATACATTGGATCCAATTTGTTATTTTATGTATACCTGCAGGAGGCCAAATGGCCATTTTACTTTTTGTTGCTTTTATGTGTTACAATTTAGGCAACTTATTCGTAAGTTTAAGAACAATTTTGGTAAGGTAGGGACTATAGGGACAGAGGTAGCTGTGTAAATTGTGAAGATTTAGTCGGGAGCGATCTCACTCGATTTTTATTTAACAGGCTATGGCAGACATGAATACCTACATGACCACCGATTTGGCTATTGGTCCTGCTCCTGCATCAATAGTACCTACCTATAGACATGGACACCGGAACCGTAACTATTGACGTAAGAGTGACACGTTGGCTGCATTTATCAGAATCCAAATAATAAAAAAAACTAATATGTTAGGTAGGTACCTTGGTAATAATAATTTAAATATATTATAGGATAACTCTGAAGTTCTTATCCTTACCTTAAAGTTTTTATAGGTATGACTTTTGCGTTTATGATAGGCGATGTGGCGTTGTTCCGGATTGGTGCGGAACAACAGATTAGAAAAATGTTCTAAACAATAGGTAGGTAAGTACATATTATTTAGCACGGAAATATCAATAGGACCAATCCGCTGATATGGTCTACGATCAACACCACGCCAAACATCAATAAACTTTTTGTTTTGGATTTCGTCGGTGGCGGTAGCGTATACCTATATACTACTTCCGCCATTTCGGAGGCAAAATCAATGTGAGTTGTGACATTGGTCGCGTTTGATGAATACCAAATATTGTTAGTCTCAAAAATGAGAGGATGACTGAAGTTTTCGGCAGGGATCCTATCAGAAGTTCAATGTCGATACGCCGGTCTACGTTTCCATCCATCCGGACAAATCCGTCCACTGTTTGCATGTGTCATGTAACATGTTATCTATGATTTACATCATCAATTTAACTTGGTTGGCTTGGACCATATTTGATATTGCCATATGTAATGTAATTAAAATTGTATGCTATATTGATATTATTATTATTCTATAACATTCCGTAAGTTTCGTTATATTATGTCGACACAGTGTTCTACCAGGATTTAGTCAAAGGTGAGGAGGGTCTACTTTTTTTTATTTAATTACTGTTTTTCAATTCTTTTCCTGAGTACATACATACATTTTATTGCTTAATAAACAACATTATTTATTATATAAGATATCAATAAGTTTTAAGACAATTGACAATGTCACGGAATCTTTAGAAAATGGAGGGGGTCCACCCTCCTGGTTGAGCCACTTCGTCGACATAAACAATTCGCATAAGAATAGTCGACCACCAAGGAATTGTATTAAAAATACTCAAAGCTCCGTTATTTATACCGGTGCATAACTGTATAGGAGCTAGTGGCACAACCAGGGGGGTGGACTCCGGGTTTGGACCCCCTGGCACGTATAATATTAGGTATATTAAAACGTAGGTATATTGTTTATATAATTAAGATACCTAGATGATTTATTTTGTCAGACCCCCTCTATGAAAAATTCCTGGTTGCGCCACTGATAGGAGCACTATACCAAACCATTGACATTTGAAAAACATACCTAGGTACCACGATTAAAGATATACAGGTTGCACATCGTCCTATAATAAACGGCTTTCAGATCGATTTACAAAGTGACTATATAAAACAGCTGTTAATAATAGTGGCCAGTGGCGCCCAAGATATATTTTTCAGGTGTAGCAAGAAAGCATTTTACCCACCCACCCACCCCCTCAAAACTCAAAATTATATTATTTAATACATTTTATCACATTATTTGTATTGATAATATTAGTAAATATTAAGGTATCAACCAATATAATCTGTGATTAATTATGAACATATTTCAAGTTTATTATTTTTTGTTATTATACCCATCCACCCCTTATTTTCAAGGTGTAGCGACCGCTACACTTAGAAATAGGGTTGGGCGCCACTGATAGTGGCGCTTGGTGTCAACACTCAACCATATGTGTTGTCGTGTCGACGTTTAGAACTAATTTTACACCTATATATCTACATATTATAATCGGTTAATTGTAATACTGCCACTGGTTAATTATTGGTAGTCATTTCGTATTTCACCTTATAAAATATAGTCGATGTGCAAGACGTGTGCAACCTGTATGGCTGTATATCTTTAACCGTGCTAGGTACCTACTACCTACTAAGAAGCTACAAAATGTATTTTTCTTTTAATTTTACCTTACTAATACGCTCTAACCTAAGTAACTGTATAATTATTAATTAATCGATAGAATAAGAAATATACCTACCTAAAAACAGTAGATTATCCGGGCTAAAAAAAAGATCTATACTGAAGGAAAATGGTCTGATCAAAAAATTGTTTTAGTATACGCATTCCAATAAAACTCGGAAACGGCTCAACCGAAATCGTAGAGATCGCAAAATGCATCAAATAACACCCCTACACCTTAAAAAAATCCTAGATGATTAAATCCACGACTGGTTAGAGGATAAGTACCTACCACAAATACAGGGTTTAATTTTTAGGGGGCCTCCTAAAAAAATTACTTCTAAGCCACAGATGCAATATAATATGCAATTATTGTAAATGTTTTCATACCAATAA